ATCTTCAGTATAACTCATAAAAATTACAATTGGAAAATAAAAATAAAAATAAAAAGGTTATATTGGTCGCAATATTGGTTATATAATAAAATAAATTGCATGATTAAATATGATAATAAAATAAATTGCATGATTAAATATGAAAAATAAAATTGTCGCATGATTAAATATATAAATAAATATAAAAATGTTTAAATATGGTATATACAAAAACATAGAATAAAATTTATCGCATGATTAAAACGTTTTATAATTCGCATGAGAATCATAAAAATTAAAATTAACATTACATGTTTCTCTTCAGCGACAACGTTAATTTTCAGTATGTATTGTCGTTGATAAAAGACTTGCTCTCTTACTGCAATCGCTTAAAAAATAAGAAAAACTATTGTCCTATGTAATCAGTACTTTCAGTAATCGACGCTGCTTCTAATGGAATTAAACTGTAAAGCAATAAAAAAAGGTTATATTTTTAAATTTACTCTTAATCTTAAATTTGAATTTAAAATATACCTTAAATATCGCCCACCCATTTTTTCAGCTCACACAATTACAGTGGATTCGCAAATTTTTTCAGATACAAAATATTGGTAGCGTAATTAGATATTTCTCCAAGGTGATGTTACACAATAACACAGAAATAAGGAAGGAAATTAAGTTACTGCCATAATTTTGGAAAAGGAAAAATATGACGTGATGGAAAGAAAAAATGAAAGAAATTAGAGAAGGGATAATGCTTGTAAAATAGGAAGGTAGAAATTAGGCAGGGATTCTATGTCACTTTGCTTAGTTAAACCATTTAATTGCTTTTTAATGTATATCATCTCCGAAATCAATCTTTTGTTATATGACGGCTCATTGTCAAGAATTTTAACTTCATTTCATTTTAAATTAACTTCATTTCATTTTAAATTGAGAGTCAACCTATGGTTCGAAATTACTGAGGGGAACCCTGTTTTTTAATGTCGCTTACGTGTTCAAATGTTCTAATTTTTAATTGACATTTCGTTGGCTTACATATGTCGCATTACACTCATGGCACGATATCTTGTAAATCACTTCTTGATGCAACATAAGATCCAATAAATCTTTTCCTCTAGTTTTTTTAACGTATTGAGAATGGTACATGCATCTTTGTATGTAGGCCAATCGGAAAGAAGACTCGAAGATAATTTTCATATACGATACAGTGAAATGTCGTTCATTATTTAATTGTTTTAAATGTTGTTGGTTATGATTGATAAATTTGTTCTGGTGAAATTTTATCCTCGTATTAATAGTCGAAAAAATGAACTTTAAAGGATATTTAATAAAATGTACACCAATTCTATAATATTTTTTTGGTGGTACATCAGATGAAATAATAACATTATTCAACCATACTCTCTAAATATGAATTAGTGGATAATCACTGATATCAGTGCCAAGTATGCCACTGATAATCAGTGAATTAAATGTGCGATACCTAACCTAGCTAATTTTTATTATGATCTAACTTAATCTTGTTTTAGTGCTTAAATTCAATGAATATAATATTGGAAGAATGAAATTAACGCGCAGATATCGATATTTTATTATGTTGATATTTAATTATATAATGCTCAAACATTCTTCCTTTTTTAGTTGAATTTCACTGATTATCAGTATAAAGTATACCACTGGGTAATTAATGACTACCCACTGATTCAGATTTAGAGAGTACCAAATGCCACACTCCTCTTGTGACATATCGAATATTGGGAGTTGAAATTTAGAAATCTTCCGGAGAAGGTTAGTTTTTTGTAGCAATCGAAAACAATACTATTATTCTTTATTATTATTGATTGATGTCTATATCCAGATAACTTAGTCTGTCACCATCACTCACTTCAATTGTGAATTGTAATCGTTCATGTAATGAATTAAATACATTTAATTTCATCCAAATATTTCTCGGGGACAAAGTAACCGCCGAATTGCAATCTCCTCCAAATCTTTCAGGACAATATTGGCTATGGTCGGTAACAATGGTGATCCATAGGCATACTAAAAATCTGTTTACAAAATTTTTTATTGAAAGTGAAGAACGTTGAATTTAAAATTTAAAACCAGTTTGGTAGATTAATAAATTCTTCTTTAAGTATGTTTATGTTTTTTGAAATATGTTCCTATCTATTGTATATATTGTCAATCTCTAATTCGACAGATACGTTAATAAATAATAAGATGATGTTATTTTAAGATTAGGTTCGAAATAAATTCCTTCTAATCTTATCAACTAATTGGAACTTTTTATGTGGCTGTGTATTTTAGGTATGCTATTGTTAATAATGTTATGTAAATAAATAGATAGTGTAACGGGCTATTGATTAAAGAAATTAAAAACTATTATTTTTAACAGAGTGTTAATTTTGTGAATTTTTGCACATTTATAATCAGGGGATTGATTCTATCTGTTATTAGTAGTCTCTTATAAATTGGTTCTTTTATAAATTTATTATTTTTTCATTTTACCAGAAGGCAACGTAATTCCGCAATAAGTTTTTAATGGAATCCTTGTTAATTTTTTGATATTGTTATCAGATAACAATACTTATCAAATATAATAATTTCATTCATTTTTTTTTCTTTAATATCTTTCTACGTCAATATAATCTGAAAAATCTAAAAAAATCTCATGTTATAATTAATTTATTGCACTTTAATTGTTAAAGTTAATTTTTTCGCTTAAATATTTTCTTATGTCTTTCTTTTACATAAATTTCAACGCAAATTTTCTAGTTAACAATAATATCCAGATGTGCAGTTCGCTATGAGATCGGAATTGGAATTAGCAAATTTCTGAATGATCTACATATCATTATTCTTTATATGATTTCAATGCGATTGATTTGTCGCAGCAGATATGTCTTTTTCATGAAATTAAATTATAGAAAAATTTCAGAAAAGTTATACAAGCGCCTTTTCTTCTTTTTAGTTTCAAACTTCTAATTCATTCATAAGTCACATTTGGTTTTCGAGGAATATCTCTTAGTTTGAATTCTTTTGATGTCGGATCTGTCTAAAGCTTATAATTACAAAATAATCGAATCAAATTCACGACAGGTACATATTTATAAATATCACTCAGCGATCAGCGTGATTAATATTAACAGTTTGATGTATTAAACTAGCTAATTAAAAATATTATTTATTAGTGACTATACATTTGTCTTTTTACATTCCTTGTGTTATTAATTGATGAAATATCTCTGTTCCAAATATCTAAATATTTTAATTATTATATTGTTTAGAAAAAAATGTTCAACAACAAATTGCAGATATAAAATTATTTAAATTTAATAATTGAAACTATGTGATTATTTGAAATATAATACATACAATACTTAGTTTGAACACACTTGCGACATTATTGTGTACTAACATCTTTATTTGAACAATTTTAATTCTCTACATTTTTTTCTTAACAAAATCTCTAGATAACTACATGCTCAAAAAATAATGTCATCATTTTTTTTAAATACGAGTACTCACATTTTTTCATTAATTATTGTTCTTATCATTCTGTTATTAAATTCATGTTTATTTTGTCACCGTGTGGAATATATGACAGTAAAGTAAGATATCGAAGTCTTTACTAACTGCAATTAAAGACATTTTTTTACAATATTTATTGTAATATAGTACGTATAGATGTTGGTATTAAAATTACCGTGGCGAAACATTCCATAGATGCATTAAATAGTCCACCGATATTCAGAGTAAACACCTTAGTTTCTCTTTGTAATAAAAACAGTATCATTCTTTGTATACGTAATGGAGCTCTATACCACTGAACGTTATACCTGTGAAATTGTATTATGTATTGTACATAGATAGCGATTCGCTAATTGACAAAAGAAACTTTCTGTATCAGTTATTTTCAGCTTTACTAATTTGTTTTGCAATTACTTTGCATTACTTTTTATATCTGACGAAACAATTCTTAAGAGGCACATAAAAACAACACTTTTGCTATCAATTACAAATTAGCAACACCAATTATTGTAAAGTTACTATCACAAATTATCTTTTTCACAAATAGCAAATTAATGTTGCCATCAATTTGTTATATAATTCAAATTAACGTGAGTTTGCTATAAACATAATATTGTCTCGATCACCTTAGCCCGAGTTTATCGAATTAATTGCTTGAAGAATTATTGACATGACTGCAAACTCATTGCATTTGGCCATCTGAATTTTAGCAAATAGTTCTTTCAGTGCACATATACTCATTCATATACTCATCATCATGAAATGTTTCTTACGCAGTAGAGAATACGTAATTATTGTGATCTATTATATTCTGTCCGATATGGTTGGATAAAAACATATATATAATACTGATAGCCACACATAACATCGGAAAACAAAATTCGTTGATAGTATTTTCAGATGAAACACTCTGAAATATCTAAGATACAAATTTAAAGGAGATTATAAATCTTCTGCATATGTGTGTGTGTGT